CCCCCCCCCCCAAATGTGGATTTTCTCTCTCTCATGCTGCCTTTTTGGAGGCTGATGACATTGAGCCACTTGCGCCAAGCCGGGCTAACAATGCGGTAGAAAAACCCAGCAGGTCTCAAGCTGCTTCCTTTGCTTTCCTTCCTAGATTCCTATCCATTCAGCAGGCTCTCCCAAAGCTTCCATAGATCTAATCAGACCATACTTATTTACTGGGTTTGCTGTCATGACCTCTGAGAACGCTTCCCACAGATGCAGGCAAAACGTCAGGAGAGAATGCTTCTGAAACATGGACATACAGCCCCAGAAACTCACAACAACCCGGTTTGATGTGCTGTCGAAGGCTTTCACGGCCGGGATCGCTGTGAGTTTTCTCAGGCTGTATGGCCATGTTCCAGAAGCATTCTCTCCTGACGTTTCGCCTGCATCTCTGGCTTATTTATTCATTTATTCACCGCGTTTGTATACCGCCTTTCTCAGCCAGAGGAGACTCAAGGCGGTTCAGAGTCGGCAGCGATTCGATGCCATAACAAAGATCAAAATACAGTTAAAACTATTATAAAAACAATTCCACATTTAAAATGTAAAAAAAAAAAAAAAAGGAAATAGATCTGTAAAAACAAGATCCTCGGCGTCTCCTTACTAAAATCGTTGTCCAGTTGCATCGTGAGTCATGCCATATATTCGTTTACGTCTAATTATGCTCCAGTAGAAAAAGCTTGCTCAAAGAGCCAGGTCTTAGCCATTTTGCAGAATGTTAGAAGGGAGGAAGCCAATCTTATATCCATAGCTGAGGGGCCACCACTGAGAAGGCCCTGTCTCTCGTCCCCGCCAAACGCATCTGAGAGGAAGGCGGGCTTGAGAGCTGGGCCTCCCCAGACGATCTTAAAGTCCTAGAGGATTCATAAGGAGAGATATGTTCGGATAGGTAAGCCGGACCTATCAGGCTTCTTACTACCTGGGGGAATCCTTTGTTGGGAGGCCCTGATTGTTTCTTGTCTGAAATTCCTCTGTTTCTGAGTGTTGTTCTTTATTTACTGTTATGATTTTAGAGGGTTTTTTTTTAATACTGGTAGCAAGATTTTGTTCATTTTCAACAAGAAACAGTCAGGGCCAGCTGATCACCTCCCAACAAAGGATTCCCCCAGGCAGTAAGAAGTGACTCTCACAACTACCATGTCAGACGAAACAGAGAAGCCACTGAAATCCACAAGCATGTGGACAATTTCAATAGAAAGGATGAGACCACGAAAATGAACAAAATCTGGCTACCAGAATTAAAAAGTCTAAAATCATAAATAAAGAATAATACTCAAAAACAGGGGAGTTCCAGACAAGAAACAATCAGGTCCAGCTAATCACCTCCCAACAGAGGATTCCCCCAGGCAGTAAGAAGCCACACTTTGAAACTGCTAGGGCATTAAATGCTAATCAAGGTGACCAATTGCAACATTCACACTTGCCTCAAAGAGACAAGAGTTCTTTCTCCCACAGATATATAAACTCCATTTTCTTAGTTTCCAACACACCTCAGAACCTCTGAGGATGCCTGCCATAGATGCAGGAGAAATATCAGGAGAGAATGCTTCTGGAACATGGCCATACAGCCCAAAAAACTCACAGCAATCCAGTGATTCTGGCCATTAAAGCTTTCGACAACACATCAAACCATTCTTATTCTGATGTGGGTGAAACATCAGGAGAGCATGCTTCTGGAACACAGCCATACAACAAGGGAAAACTGACAGCAATCCAGTGATTCTGGCCATGCAAGCTTTCGACAACACATCAAACCATTCTTATTCAGATGTGGGTGAAACGTCAGGAGAGAATGTTTCTGGAACATGGACATACAGCCCAGAAAACTCACAGCAATCCAGTGATTCTGGCCATGAAAGTTTTCGACAACACATCCAAACAATTCTTATTCTGATGTGGGTGAAACGTCAGGAGAGAATGCTTCTGGAACATGGACATACAGCCCAGAAAACTCACAGCAATCCAGTGATTCTGGTCATGAAAGTTTTCGACAACACATCCAAACAATTCTTATTCTGATGTGGGTGAAACGTTAGGAGAGAATGCTTCTGGAACATGGCCTTACAGCCCAAAAAACTCACAGCAGCCCAGTGATGCCGGCAACACATCAAACTGGGTTGTTGTGAGTGTTCTAGGCTGTATGGCCATGTTCCAGAAGCATTCTCTCCTGACGTTTTGCCTGCATCTATGCCAAGCATCCTAAAAGTTTGCGAGGTCTGTTGGGAACTAGGAAAATGGAATTTATATATCTGTGGAATAAGATTCACAGATACATAAATTGTTTCAATTGGACACCTTGATTAGCATTTAATGACCTTGCAGCTTCAAGCTCTGCCTTCTCACTGCCCAGAGGAATCCTTTGTTGGGAGGTGATTAGCTGGCCCTGATTGTTTCTTGTGTGGATATATAAATCCAATTTCCCTAGTTCTCAACAGACCTCACAACCTCTGAGGAAGCCTGCCGT